CATAAGTCCCAAACAGTTTGAACATGTTGATATGTGACATGGCCACAATTGAAAACCTGATAAGTAGAAAATAATGCATCACATTGAGGTTTACTCATCACGAAATGTCTCGCTATTTCATTGATCCATAGCAGATTCTACAAATTTTCGTTATCTTCATTCAAACAGCGTGATGCGTTTTTATAACTTATGTATAACCCTATTGCACCTTGATAACTCCGGGGTTATGCTCACTTCCGCCAACGTGAGCGTAAACCCTTGATGGTTACTACATCGTATTACAGCATTTCTATTGAGGTTGAATGTGAAGTGTCCTATCAGACCTTTAGAACTCAATGATTAGTGCAAGTTAAGCTTCTCTCAAGTCTGAATGATTAAATTTCCATTCATTAAGGGGGTTCTAAGCAAGAACGAATTCTCCTATATTGGACGCTTATGTTCATGTACCTTGGCTACTATCTTTTAACTAGTGTTTTAATGGCAGCAAAAGGTCAGGCTCTAGTTTGATGAGCGTTCCCTTGCTGCAGTTAAAACGGTATATCTTACTTTTAGCAAATTTCCCATGCAGGAAACTTTCATTAAAAAGATAAGTGAGCCCGAAGCCGAATAACTGAATATTTTGATGCTTGGTATTGCACAATTTATTTAAGCAGGGAATTTAATCAGCAGTATGTGTGTTTGGTGGTAGTGTTCCCACAGCAGTGTGTTCCTGGTAGTCTCTTGGAGCGTGCGTTATGTAATCAAAATATTCGAGGCTGCAACCTCAAAGGCTATTCGCCGTAATTGGATGGAATTTTAGCAGTTTCGTACTTGAATATTCAACTTTTCATATCGAGATGGGATAGAGTGGATCGCTATCTGAGCGTGCATTACGTCGTGTCGGCTGCTATCTGAACCAGCGCTACATGCGAAGTCGGCTGTAAACAACAACAATCCTCGGTACATCAAACGGGCTGTAGTGGCGCAGACTGTTACATAACCACTGGCACTTAATTCTCCTCCATATGTTATCTGATTATAACCCAAACAACAAACAAATCGAATCTTATTTGAAATGGACACATATGTAGGCTGTTCTACCGAATCCGAGACAGACACTTCGGGATTTCCTCCTGCCAGAGAACATGATGGCCTCGTTAACGTCATAAGGCCCAAGGTGCAAATGGACACACGTAATTATTACATGTTTCAATGTGTAATCGTTATTTTCATCTTAATTGCTTCAGATTCGACTGCATATATGGCGGATGTCTTAAAACTGCATCTAAACATGCTTGCTGGCTGGTCCCTGATTGGCGTACACCGGGCGGTGAAGTACCAGGGGACCAATCACAATCGTCGTTTGTGTCGACACTAAATTGCTAAAGACCATATATTTGTGGACATTAACTGTATGGCGTGTTATTTTCCATCTGAACAACTGTCGCTATGTCCTCCTGTAATTGTCACACTTCAACATTAATGTTTACAATAGACGAACTTGTGTGTCTGTTTACATCACAAATGTACCACGCAAGCACAATCAATAACTCTTCTTTACAACGTTATTCCATCGTTATACAAACGTACAGGATTGTCGGCATATCAATCCAGAGCTAGGTGGGGAACAGTACGTGTCTATGAGCAGATAGATCGATTCACTTTCGGGCCAGGAAGAGAGGAGATGCACTTTGTTTCTGCTACATCAGACACAATCTTTCAGTTATTGCTTCTGAGGGTGACTGCAGAATCAACAAATTTCATCATAATATTTCTGGTCTGTTTGGGTGAGGTAACACTTTCCTACTGCGCTGTAGTTTGCAGTAACCTCCCTTTTTAACGTCCGTTTTGATATAAAGGTAGATCAATTTGGTCAAGGCCACTTCCGTTGACCAGGTAGCTCAATCGGTCAAGGTTGATATCCAGGGTTGATTTATCGAAGCTGTTTTATTGCCGGGAAAACAGTTTCCAACTTAGTAACAGTTTTTGGCAGTGGAACGGGGATCCTAGCTTTTAAAAGTAAAACGCAGTTTCCCCTCAAACGTCACAGGTGCATTCCAACATTTGCTGGGAAAAGTTAAAGGAAAGACAACTCAAACGCACTATTCCTCTGAAAAGGTCAACATCGGGTCACTACTTCATGTAGTGTAACCAACGTCACGAATTGCGTCACACAGTACATGCGCCATTGCGTTTGTCAATGAATTATCACCTTATTTGGGTGAGTAGGAAAGTATGGGAGAAAACTATTCAACCACCGCTGTGTGATGCAGGCAGAGTTATCTAAATCCTCGTCCATATCTCCAAAAATATGTTTCCGGGGATTTAGATTTCTTTGTCTACCTCACCCATGAGTGGACGATTACGAACTATCGACCTGTGTACGACCTGGACGACGAGAAGGCCCCCTCGTTGCTGTTTGTTTACACCGCTCTGTCACCCCTTGTGTGTATTGTTCTGACATTCCCTTTGGAATCGTGGAGTAATATAATTGGTTCTGACGAAAGCTTCACCTACTAAAGGCAATTGTTCTGTTTGTTTGTTGTAATTTTGGTTAAAGTGACAACAATATAAATGTATTTGTCCCTGTAGTTGATTTGTTTTTATGAATACTGCTGGAGAAGTATTGTTCATTTTCATACACATTTGTATCGCACTCACTACTTATGTGAGAGGTCCGGACCCTTTGGCAGTTTTGTATGAGCAGTATACTCCCTCTTGGTACATGGAGCTTTATTCAAGACATCGACATGTTATATTTTGATAGATTCTTAAATCCCGTTATTGGTCTGAAGTGGTTTGTGATTGATATTGGCGTACTGGTATAGATCCAAGGTTTATTATGACACGTGTTTCTCACGGGTTATTGTTCGCAGTGCGAGTTTACAATATGTGATGGTTTGTTTTGACTTTCCATAATCTGTTCAGCTGTTGTTTTGGAATATTTCCATGATATGACATTCCTAGTTAGATCAATCACAATGTACTCAAACATCGGGACACTTTCGGTAAACATAGACAGGCAAATCGTGTTCTAGCCTTTCATACAGTAATTTTGCATATACATATTACTATTATGTTTTTTTTAGGATTTTGACGTACTAGAAGAATCTGAACCTCAAACAGTTGGGAGAGTCATTTTCACTTTCATTACATTACATATCAATGGTTGCCTCAAGATATGTTGGCAATAAAATCAACTGAAACCATATTTATGGTAAATTATAAGTTATTCAACTGATTTACAATACAATGTAGAGCAGTTTAATATATAATTATCTCGGGCTTTGATATTCTTATTGCATAGCAGGTTGGTTACTTGGCATAGTTGATAACGCTCTCGCCTTTCCCCAATGGGATCGGGGTTCGAACCCCCGATCGGAGGTAAACAGGTATTGGGTCACTTGGCCGACCACGTGGTTTTCTTCCAAACTACTCCGGTATCTCCTCCCACATTAAGGCTTTCTGTGCGCTTCCGTCCGGGCCAACAAATAGTGATTAATATAAGTTAGAAAACTTGTCCCACAACTGTTGTAAAATAAACAAAGTTTTTTATTTACTTCATGTTGATTGGATGTCCATGGCAACAGCAAACTGATGTTCCCTGCTTCTCTCAATTTTAGAACCAATGAACGACAGCAATAGCAAAGTTCCTGGCTCCCCTTGAACACTGTCAAAATGGTTTCGCCGACCTAAGAACGGGAACAAAACATATACCGTGCCACAGGACACTGGTTTTATCTAATATTCGAATATATCATATAAATGTAATTCCAGTTTAATGAATCGAGAAAGTTGACATAAAAACGGAACTTCATGGTAATTATTATCCTTACACACTGATTGGTAATTTGTTTTAGCCGCTAAGTATATTATGACATATAGATACATGTATTTTGATTTCTTCAGAGTATTTGAAGAAATAATAACCTATATATAAAACTAAAAAAAAATCAGAAAATAAAGTTGAGATAAGCTCATTTGGTAATATGAAATATCATTGTATATTTGCTTATCCATATACAAGCGTTATTATCTTTAACACAGTCTTTTAAAAGAGTATATGATTCCTTTTCACTTTCAAGATTAATGCTTCTAACCCCTAAACTTGTGGACGTATAAAACTCTCTAAAAGACATCCATTATGCCAAAGATGTCGTAACGTTTATGCTGCAAATGCGTGTATTCGGAGGGCAGGTGTTTATTTGCCAGTGACAAATGTTTGTGATTTTAATATGGTGACGACCTATTGGAAAACAGGTGCTCTAAGATCGCTCACATTAATAAATGTCGTGAGCGAGAAAGACCAGTAATGAATGTAGTCACTTTGTCTATTATTATAACTGGTCTGTTGTTGAATACGGATTTGGAGAGTCCGGTTTCCGGTTCGAGTTGTTAGCCTTCCCCCAAGATTATATACTTACGTGTATCGATTTTTGACGGGAAATGTCGTCTGGCTATAATCTGTCAATGACGGGGACTCAACAGATGCTCCCGTTGGTGGTGGAGGTGATGTTGTTGTACGTCTCCCGTTATGTCTGAGAAATCTATTACGGGCAAATCTCCAAGGTCAAATATGTTTTTACATCGCTGGAAATGTGCATGTCTTTGAGGATATGCCTGTAAATTGATGAGCAGCGAAGATAATTGGTAGGTTATTTTCGGCATCTTTGATCAGGGTTCGTAAGTGCTCCAATCAGTGACGTTACAGTTGTTGAAATCTTCCCATTGTGTCTTGGACTTGTTAAACACACTTACAGTATTTCATGTATATCAATGGTGGTCGTCAACCCTGACGTTAATGGTAAGGTCGAATTTAAGGTAAATTTTTCGTACAAGTTTACGATGGTATATGAATTAACATTGCCGGTTTACGTGCACGCGCTCACCTCCTACACCTGTTGTATATAGACGGTGTACCTGGTGGCCAGCACGCTTCATGTCTATGTTTTACATAATAAACCTTGAACGTGTCGTTAATGTGTGTAAATGATGGACTGTTTTTTCTCTTTTCCCCTCAGGTATACACAAAGCAATGCGTGTGCTTTAAAGCACCGTTTCGGAGTTCGGATACATAGTGGCATTAGGTAAGCGCTTTAGAGAGGTGCACTCTTTCACTTATCCCGGGGCTGCATCAAGCTAATTGTGAAGATAAAATATAAATTGAGTACCGTCCTAATCAAATTGCGAGTTATTATTAGTTGTGTTTTAATAAGAGTTATAAACAAACATTTAATTACATTATGGAGCCCCTGTGTCGAGTTCTGAGTGCACCTCGTCAAGTTTCTAGAGCGTAGAACCTGTCAACTCCTTTATCGACCAACCCAATGTTACCCTCACCTAATTGTCGACCCACCCAATGTTACCCTCACCTAATGACGACCAACCAAATGTTACCCTCACCTAATTGTCGACCCACCCAATGTTACCCTCACCTAATTGTCGACCCACCCAATGTTACCCTCACCTTATTGTCGACCAACCAAATGTTACCCTTACCTAATTGTCGACCCACCCAATGTTACCCTCACCTAATTGTCGACCCACCCAATGTTATCCTCACCCAATTGTCGACCCACCCAATGTTACCCTCGCCTAATGACGACCAACCAAATGTTACCCTCCCCTAATTGTCGACCCACCCAATGTTACCCTCACCTAATTGTCGACCAACTACATGTTACCCTCACCTTATTGTCGACCCACCAAATGTTACCCTCACCTAATTGTCGACCAACCAAATGTTACCCTCACCTAATTGTCGACCCTTCAAATGTTCCTTATCTGATTGTCGACTGACCTCTTTTTGTCTCACCTCCTTTGTCAATTCACAAAATATTGTCCTTTTTATTCGTATCAGCCCTTCTAATATTATCCCTCAAATCATTTCTGGACCAACCTGATTTGTATTCCTTATCTCTTTTATCGAACCATCTGTAGCCTACTTTATGCCTTCCCTTTGTCAACTCAATTTATCCATCTCATCCATTGCTGAGATACCTTATTTTATCCTTCTCTAATTTTGTCCGCTAAAAAAGGAAAACGGCCAACCGTTAAAACTTCCCTATGCTATCCTAACGCAAATGTTGTTCATCTTATACTTACATGTATCAAGTCTTTTTCCTCTGTTCGACAAAACAACGTTTTTCAACTCATTTCATTTGTAAAATCCACCTATCTTTTCGACTTGCAATAAATACTGCTCCCATCGGAGACCCTACCCGTCGTGCATGGTACATACCTACACCTTCTTAGGAACTCAGCCCATACTAAACACATTTCTTTCTGTCACAATATCCCATGCCATCGATTACCTGTCGACTCAAATTTTGTCCCATCACTTCCTTTTTTACATCAATCGTTTGTACATGTACACCTCATGGAAATGCATCAATACCCTGTCAACCACTGTATCGTTACCTATCTACCCCACACTCTTCCATTTCAGCAAACCTCCTCACTCCTTTCACACATCAAAGATTCAACAAACCCCTTCAAAGCCTTGCATGCCGCCAAACCCCTTGCACTCCTTCCAATCTTCCGGTTCCGACTTACACGCCTTCCGAAACAACCCCAAACCTATATCCTTACGGTTCCCTACGTTTCCTCTCACAACCCTATTACCCATCCTTATTCCTCGACAGGTGATGAGCACTTTCAGAGGTCATTGTTGTTGTTGTTGTTGATGATGATGTATGGATGGATTTTAAATTGGAGTTGGAAGCATGCATGGCGGTACTTGTCATTGTGATGAGGCCGCTTCGACGTTCAACGTGCCTGTAATACAAGTGATGTTTGAGTTTCTAATGCAAGAGTAAAGCTATTGTATACCTAATGGGTAGCCGTTTGACTCTTTGTGTTCACGTCAATTTCATTTCAAATAAGGATTATCACACAACTTCCGTTCATGTGTCCTCGTGTTGGTGTTGTTTTGCTTGGTCACACTTGTTCCTATGGCCAAGTGTTCGTGTCGTTTTGCTGTTGTTTGTGACTTGTTTATTTTTCAACAGATTCAAGCAATATTCATATATAATAGTACTGTCTTTCTCTACAATTTTATAACATGTTATTCTATCAGCTAAGTGAATTCTTCACTATTTCGTTTAGGGAGTCATCACAGCTCTCTGTGACAAAGGCGGACTGTGACCGCGAGGTGTCATACACGTAAGCAATAATGCTATAAGGTTTTGCTAGAGATTTAAGTGCTAGTTTGCCGTGTTTTTATTTCACCATCCTGTCATGTGTTTTGGCTTCTTTTCCATTCTTACCTTTACCTTGCATTTGTTATCAGCGACCGAACGTCACCAAAGACGAAGGCTGAAAAAGTGAGTTTCTGTGATAACGAAATCTCGAGCCAACCGAACGAGATCTCGGGCCGCCAACGGCAGCCCAGCCCAACCACCTATTCCGAGGTGATAATCTTAGACAGCTTACCCCCGGGACATTGGCCAATCAAACGATCAGCTAGGTAAGGCCCGCGTATGCCAGTATTTTTCTGTCACAGTAGATACTGTTTTAGACGCATGCGTGCTAGTCTATCGATGATCGTCTGATCAACTGGCAGTGTGTTGCCAGAGGAAGCTGTTTGCATGTGATTTGTTTTCTGATACTTTTCCTTTTTGCACGTTATTTCTTTCAAATTGAAATACATAGCATGACACTTTTCTCAAATTTCTTTTAGATAAGTCTCTCGGAAATTACACATTTCAGTAGCTTCGTCCTGCTTGCTGTTTCAGAACTGTTTAAATTCCATGAGCTGCAATGAATAATAAGTTATTTTATATCATGAGTATTACTACTTATGAACGGAGATAGCCTGTTGTCACAATAAAATGATACCAGCTGGAGTGTCATTCTGCCGTGCACTCGTTATGACATTTCAGCGATATGACACTGGAAAGTGGGCATAAGCCGTGGATGTGCACACAATCGTGGATGAAGGGAGGTAACTCGAAAACAAACCAATCATAAACCGAAATCGGTTACCGACAATTTAAACACTGATCTCCCGCTTATTTCAAGCAATATTTTAACTATTTTTAAAAGATATAAAGCTAAACGTTAGTTTTTTTCAGTTTCAAAAAAGAGCTCAACATTTCATAAACATCACCAGTGCAGGGAATTAAACGATAGGAGTCGGAACATTTTTTGTTAAATAGTTTGGGCCCCTTATATTGATGTTTTAGAGGAACTACTATCGTGCTATCTATATGCATTTTCAACAGAAAAAAATTACAATATATAGTTGTAGATGTACGTATTGGCAGTGCAACTTAAGTAAAAACTTAGATTGTAGACCGATTTTATATATCACAACAAGAAACCACGGACCGATTTTATATATCATAATAAGAAACCACGGACCGATTTTATATATTACAACAAGAAACCACGGACCGATTTTATATATCACAACAAGAAACCACGGACCGATTCTCTAAAGTGTTTAAAACCTATCGGGATGCTTCGTAGCATCATAATGTTCGTATGCCATACATCCGTTTTTAATGCGAGAAATACATTTTTGTACAAGTCAGCAATACTTTTTAACATTTCAGCGGGAATCCATCTTACATCTATACGTTTCTTAATAAGCTTAAAGTCCGAATTACCGGTAAATATTACTTGTACAGCAAATCGAAACGGGCTGTTACTTTAAACCTCAATCTGGCCTTAAGATCATGATACGTCATGTGCATATCTAAAAAAACTAATTAATATTTCATCGGTGTACCTTAAGATATCTTATTTATATTGCACGAGTGTAATATAGAAATAATTTACTAAGTCCTAGTATGAAATGAGCGTATCTAAAAATAACTAAATATTCTATGAGCGTATTTAAGGATTAACATTAGTATATCACGGGCGTATCTAAAATAACTTCTTAGTATTACGCCCATTGAATACTTAGTTATTAATATGCAATACATGTAGTATCGGCGTTTTTGGCATGAAAACTGCATTATAAAACTGGAGTCGTATGAATTATCCGGTGAGATACGTTGTTGGTTTAAAAGCTGTGTGTCTGATTGGGAACAACAAGTTTTTGAACTAACTTACTGCAGTAATGAATGAGCATGTCTTTGAATAATTTATCAGCATTCATTCGTATCTCGGGTGAGCTGCCGAGTTGGTTTGAAAACTGCATATCTAATAGGTAACAGCAAGCTATTATTTCAATCTGTCTTTTTTCGAACAGATATTATAAAAGCAGGAGGTACCAGAAGGTTTTATTTTAATCCCTTTTCTGTTTTGCATCCATTTTTACATTTATTACATTTCTGACGTCACGGTTGCATTCCGACTCTAAACTTCCCGCTAATTATACAAATAATAAATAATAATAATAATAAATATTTTATCAGCGTGTCACATTTTGAAATACATACATAATAATGTTAACTAAAATAAGGCATGATTAATAAAATGCCCAGCCAGTATTGGCTTACGAGACACAGAACATACTAAGAGTTATCAATACTGGTTAAAAGTGTTACTCTAGCAATAAAACACTGCAGAGATGCCTCATTCATTATATAGATGAACTGATCTTTCGACCTCATATCTAAAACAAATGATGACATATCATTAGCCTCATACATTTATCTTTCGCGTATCATCTTTCTAATATGTCAGAAATAGAATCAAGACTGGCCTAAGTCTAGATTTCGTTTCCTGAAGTAAGTGGGCAAAAAAAAAGGTTACATGTACAGTTGATTTTAATGCGAGCAAGAGAGCCGTTTTATTAATCTCTGAGGAAGAAGAATTATATTGAGATTTTGAGTTACGTACTCAACGGTGAAGTATAAATTTTAGTTGAGACATAGACATTTGAGATTATTTCGACCCCGAAAGTAAATAGGGTATTGTATGCTTAGTATTGGCGATATGAAGAAAATTAATGTTATTAGGAGCTTAGCTATATGCCCAATAGAAACACTTATACAACATGTAGTTAATATGACAGTGGGGAGTATGGGGAAGACGTTCAGGGAATGAAAGTGTGATTTCAGAAAAGCTGTTTGTATTATCTCAGGCCATTCCAGTGATGCTTGTAGTACTCTTTAAATTTCGAATTTGGTTTGGAAAACACTTTCAGAAATGAGAAAAATACTTGGCAGTCGCAGTTATTCTATAAATGAATCAGATTTCACTCAAAGCTTCCTCACTGAGATTCTGCACAGTTAGCCAAACTGATAAATATCCGTTAAAAATTGTCATGATATTTATATTCACAACTATAGACTTCCTATTCAAAATTCACATTTCTTTCCTTCTGCGCTACGCCCTTGGAATATTCTTGGTATTGCTATACGGTCGTCAGCCTCTCGCTCCAGGATGACTGAAAAACGTCTTACAGGGAACACGTTCTAAAGCTCCTAGTTAATTCGGAAATGGTGAAATGAAAACTCAACATAATTATTATATACAAATTATCATAGTATTACTGTAGTTATATATGACAGTATACGTAGTTATCATAGATTTGTCTGTCAATATTTTCGTAAGTCCTGTCTGTATTTGTGAATGTCGCCTTGATTTTGTTTTAGAATGTCTAAAATATCAACTACAGAGGCTTGAAGTGTTTTTTTCAGAATCTGAAAGACTTTAACGAAATAACAATTGACTTATCACTATCAAGTGGTAATCAAGATCTGTCCCTCAAAAAGAATGAAATATTATTTTGTAACGTGCAAAGTTCATAAAGGCTAGCGATATGTACAATACTCTATCTTTCTAATTGTAAGGCATTCTAATTAGTTTTACTTTTCTCTTTCATTGTGAAATTATCTTACATTCTGCCCAGCTATTCAAATATTTGTTAATTTGATTTACATATATACATGGTATGTTAGAGGAAAGAGCTTTGATAATATGTGTTGATTTGATTTACATATATACATTATTGTACATGGTATGTTAGAGGAAAGAGCCTTGAAAATCTTCATATAGCTTGTATGTAATTATGAAATGAATATACATGCATTTAAACCAAAGAGCTTAATTGTAAATAATATAGAATGGGCATATAAAGAAATAATTTATAAATAGTCCAACCTATGGGCGTATCTAGACATGACTTACAAATATATAATGGGTGTGTCTAGATATAATCTAAGTGTTTCAGTTATGTATTTAGAAATAATAAAGGTAGTACATAGGCGTTTCTAGAATAAATTGCATCTAGAAATCATTTATAAGTATTCCATGTGCGTGACTAGAAATTTATTTGTATGCGATGGGCGCATTTAGAAATAATTTAATAGCAGATTTCTATGCCATGGGCGTAACATGGCAAGACACATTATTTACTTGAATGTAATCGCCGGATCTGGAAACAACATAAAATTTAGACTGAGAGATACCCAACAGGCTTGTAAGACACGAAATGTATTCAAGGGTTCGACAGTTACCTCGTCAAAAATACCTGTTAGGGTATGGGCTCGTTAAGGCTCGTTGTCCCCAGTGCATCATGTTTTTTCGTATACACAGTGACCTCCCCTTTATTTGGTTTTTGATTACGTTAATGTGCGACAGTTGGGCTGGGACACTTACGTTGAGCGCAGTTAACATTATTAAGTCCAGTGTTCGAATCCCAGACTAGATCCTACTCAGAACGCTGTTGTTGATTATATTTTGTTTATTTCATCTTTATCTTCTTTTTATAAATGTTCCGCAATTTAGGTTTTCTCTTCAGAAATGGTTTATTGAAGCTACATTGTATACCCATGTCGGAAAACATTTTCCAACGTGTAGTTACAGTTTTTGACAGTGGTATGGGGATCCTTAAATTTATTGTTACAGTTTTTCGCGATCCTTTGATATAAACCTCTTATGATATCACGTACTGTATTAATACACGTAACAGTATAAAATAAAAGTGAAAGTAAAATTCAAAGAAGTATAAGTGTAAAATAATAGGATGCTTCAGTTAGAGATGTAAAAAACGACACGTGCTGCATTGGGTGATTAATTACTTTGTACTTAGGTCTGGTTTTGTTAGAAATTATGATTGGATAACCAGAAAACTCTGAACAACTTTCAAAGTTTTTGACTAGTGACACATAAAGTCATACCGATCTGGTGAAAATATAAATTACGTATCAGCCGACTATTTCAGTGTCGTCAAGAAACTCCGATTCACGTGCAATGGTTCAAGGGAGGTAACTCGAACATCCTCCGACACAAGTCTAACTTAATTAATATATAGTCGAGACACCGTTGCATTATATGGTGCATACTTGACGCAGTCTGTTTTACCTGGCTTAGGCTGTTTCCTGATCTTATGCAGTTAATTAAAACAAAAATAGATTACTTGCCAACACAGCAGCACTTTTGCTGTGGTCTATCCCTTATACAACCAAATTACACGAAAGCGTGTTTTCCCAACGGTGATAGGTTTAAGAGATATGGCTCTTTTATGTGCAGTTTCCCCCGATATATTCGTAATTATGATGTCTGTGG